ACTCAATATAACAATGTAAGCTCTTCTAAAGTTAAAAAAATTTATTATTTAACTTAAGAAAATAATTAAGGCCAGCCCTGGCGTGGTGGTTAAGGCTGCTGGATCCCGCATGGCTGATCATACAGTTTAAGTCCTGGACCCAGTAGCTTGATAAGCATGTCAGCCATGTGTGCCCAAAATCCTGAAGGGAAGAAGAAATGGACAAGGGATTAAGGTGTGACCATGCCCCACTGGGTATATGTTCACTTTCCTACTCTCTCTCTAGATCTTTCTCCAGTGAGCACACATACTCTGACAAAGATAAAACAATGAACATGACACTGCTAAATTGAGCAAATCAAAAACAGCACTGAAGATAACATTTTGACTTTTCTATCTACTTCTGCACTGAAAACTAGTTTTTTTTTTTTTTTGAGAGGCCTTTTTTTGATACAGGATATGTGTGCTCGCGAGACAGACAGAGACAGGCAGACAGACAGAAAGTGAGAAGTCACCCCCAAGGGGGGATGGCCATGCCGCAATCCCTTCTCCTCCATTCTCCTCTCGGGATCTTGGGCACACACATACATGTGCCCAGCGTGAGTTTTAAGCCACTGGGTCCGGGACGCGAACCGCGGTAGACTAAATGGCAGTCCAGCGACATAGCCATTACACTAACTACTCGTCCCCTGCACTGAAAACTAGTTTTAAAACTTGAGAAGAATACCATAGCAAAAAGCAAATCATAAATAAAAGACTTGGAAACAATGTAAAGTTTCCTTTTCATGTTCCCTAATTCACTAATACCTCAACAGAATACCCAAATTTGAAAAACATTCTTACCAGCATTGTCTTCCCATTTCCAGGTGGACCAAAGAGTAACAATCCTCTGGCAGGAGCTCTAAGTCCTGTGAACAACTTAAAAATACATACTCTGTTTACAATTATAATTCTGGAGACAAAGTTTTTCAGTTATTTTAATTATCATTTGTTATCTAGAAAACATTTCTTCAGGGCCAGTAGGTGGTGTGGAAATTAAGG